AATTAAGTCCTTTAAAAAAATTTCTCTTATACGTCTAAAGATATATTCTTTTCATTAATGTTAATGTAAAAAATTTTAGTTTTGCACCAAAAGAATCTTAGAAAACTTACCTAACCTTATTATAACAAGCGCAATTTATTTTAGGCTAATCCTACTAAATATATTTTAAATACGTTTACAGTAATTTAATACTAAACAAACATAATGAAATATATTTTTTTCGTTAGGATTTGAATGATTTTTGCGAAATTATTGCATACACAAATTTTCGCTTGTCCTATATGGCAAGATGAGTGTTGATATTTAAGCCAAGATCGCAAATTCTGCCTATTCGGCACGACATATATATATATATATATATATATATATATATATATATATATATATATATATATATATATATATATATATATATATATATTATATATATATTTTTTTTTTATTATTATCACAGCGGCCGATTCCCACCAAGGCAGGGTGGCCCGAAAAAGAAAAACTTTCACCATCATTCACTCCATCACTGTCTTGCCAGAAGGGTGCTTTACACTACAGTTTTTAAACTGCAACATTAACACCCCTCCTTCAGAGTGCAGGCACTGTACTTCCCATCTCCAGGACTCAAGTCCGGCCTGCCGGTTTCCCTGAATCCCTTCATAAATGTTACTTTGCTCACACTCCAACAGCACGTCAAGTATCAAAAACCATTTGTCTCCATTCACTCCTATCAAACACGCTCACGCATGCCTGCTGGAAGTCCAAGCCCCTCGCACACAAAACCTCCTTTACCCCCTCCCTCCAACCCTTCCTAGGCCGACCCCTACCCCGCCTTCCTTCCACTACATATATATGTATATATATATGTATATATATGTATATATATATGTCGTGCCGAATATGTAAAACTGGTCAGTTAGCAAGAACTCATTTAAAATTAAGTCCTCTCTGAAATTTTCTCTTATACGTTCAAAGATATATTTTTTTCATTAATGTTAATGAAAAAAATTTTAATTTTGCACCAAAAGAATCTTTGATAACTTACCTAACCTTATTATAACAAGAGCAATTTATTTTAGCTTAACCCAACTAAATATATTTTAAATACGTTTACAATAATTTAGTACTAAACAAACACAATCAAATATATTTTTTTCGTTAGGTTCAGAATGATTTTGGCGAAATTATTGCATACACAAATTTTCACTTGTCTTATATGGCAAGATGAGCGTTGCTATTTAAGCCAAGATCGCAAGTTCTGCCTATTCGGCACGACATATATATATATATATATATATATATATATATATATATATATATATATATATATATATATATTATATATATATATATATATATATATATATATATACATATATATATTATGTATGTATGTATATATATATATATATATATATACATATGCAATAAGATCACAGTAAACAGGTGATTTTAAAATATGCAAAACAACCACTGTGAAAGAGTAGTGAAATTTCCAAGCGCTTTCGTGACTACTCACATTGTCAAGGAACTATCTTGACAATGTGAGTAGTCACGAAAGAGCTTGGAATTTCACTACTCCTTCACAGTGGTTGTTTTGCATATATATATATATATATATATATTATACTATATATATATATATATATATATATATATATATAATATATATATATATATTATATATATATTATAGGTAGTAGGTTGGTAGACAGCAACCACCAGGGAAGTACTACCGTCCTGCCAGATGACGTGAACAAAAACCTGTAATTGTTTTGCATGATGGTAGGATTGCTGGTTTCTTTTTCTGTCTCATAAACACGCTAAGATAACAGGGATATCTTGCTACTCCTACTTACACTTTGGTCACACTTCACAGACACGCACATGCATATATATATATACATACATCTAGGTTTTTCTCCTTTTTCTAAATAGCTCTTGTTCTTTTTTATTTCTTCTATTGTCCATGGGGAAGTGGAAAAGAATCTTTCCTCCGTAAGCCATGCGTGTCGTATGAGGCGACTAAAATGCCGGGAGCAATGGGCTAGTAACCCCTTCTCCTGTATACAATTACTAAAAAAGAGAAGAAGAAAAACTTTATAAAACTGGGTTGCTTAAATGTGCGTGGATGTAGTGCGGATGACAAGAAACAGATGATTGCTGATGTTATGAATGAAAAGAAGTTGGATGTCCTGGCCCTAAGCGAAACAAAGCTGAAAGGGGTAGGAGAGTTTCAGTGGGGGAAATAAATGGGATTAAATCTGGAGTATCTGAGAGAGTTAGAGCAAAGGAAGGGGTAGCAGTAATGTTAAATGATCAGTTATGGAAGGAGAAAAGAGAATATGAATGTGTAAATTCAAGAATTATTGGGATTAAAGTAAAGGTTGGATGCGAGAAGTGGGTCATAATAAGCGTGTATGCACCTGGAGAAGAGAGGAATGCAGAGGAGAGAGAGAGATTTTGGGAGATGTTAAGTGAATGTATAGGAGCCTTTGAACCAAGTGAGAGAGTAATTGTGGTAGGGGACTTGAATGCTAAAGTAGGAGAAACTTTTAGAGAGGGTGTGGTAGGTAAGTTTGGGTGCCAGGTGTAAATGATAATGGGAGCCCTTTGATTGAACTTTTTTTAAAAAGGGGTAGTTAATTAAACATTTTAGAAAAAGGTATAAGTATACCCCAAGTTTAAAGGGAAATAAATATTTGTGGATAATTATTTTATAGCTGTTATTAACCAGGATGAACATTTTAAGAGGGGACATTACGGTAACTTTTTTTGTACTACTGAGAAAAAGGTTGTGGGAACAGGAGAAGGCACAGGAAAAGTGGGGTTTTATAACAAAGGGGAGGCGTTATAAATATAAACCCAGGGGAAAGATGGCTTGAAAAGGCAATGGGTCGAAAGTGGGGTAGTTTTAAAATTTATTTGTTTTTTCCAAAGTTTTGTTTACAGGAAGTTTCAAAGGACATTTGGGGAATAATGTAAGAAGTTAGGGAAAAGTTAGCTATGAGAAGTTTTATTAAAAGTAGAGTGATCAGGGGAGGATATAAAAAGTAAGAGGTTAAGGAGGGGTTTCCAATTTTAAAAGAGAGAAATAGAGTTTGAGTAAATTTATCAACAATTTTTTGAAAAAGAAAAGTTTGGAGTGGATAAAGAAAAGGGGCCCAAAGAGCATAAAAGTGGTAGGGTGCAAAATTTAAAAATTTGTTTTTGGGGGGGGTTTTATTAAGGATTTTTTTGAAAATTTGGGGGGGTTAAAGAAAATCCCCCCGGTAAAATTTTTAAAAAATTTTTTTTTTAAATTGATGGTATTAAAACCCCCCCCTTTTTTTTATTTTTAAAATTAAAAATTTTTTTAAAATTTTAATTTTTTATTTTTAAATAAATTTTTAAAAAAATTATAAATTAAAAATTTTAAAAATTTTTTTTTTTAAAAATAAAAAGGTTTTTTAAAAAAAATTTTTTAAAATTAACCCTTTAAAAATTTTTCTTTAGCTAAAGTATTTTTTTTAAAATTTAAGTAAAAATTTTTTTTTTTGCAAAAAGACTTAAAAAATTAAAATTTTTTAAAAAGGCGAAATTTTGGGAACCAAAAATATTTTTAAAAAGTTTGTTTTTAATATAAAAAACAAAATAAAAATTTTTTTGGGATTTGAAGTTTTTGAAAATTTTTGTAAAATTTTGTTTCTACAAGATGGGGTTTTTTTTTAAGAAGACCCCAATTTTGTATTGGAAAAAAATTTTTTTAAATATTAAAAATTTTTTTTAATATATTATAATTTTATAAAAAATTTTAAAATTTTTAAAAATTTAAATTAAATAAATAAAAGTGGAATAGGCCGGGAACTTGGTCTTGGAAAATAGAAGTTCATTTGTTGGAAAAAAAAATTTGTAAAGAAAAATTTAAAAATTTTGAAAAAGAAAAAAGTTTTTTAATTTTGTTTAGTATAAATTTGAAAAAATTAAAAAAAGTTGGGGGGAAAAAATTTTTTTTTTTTTTTTTTTTAAAGTTAGGAAGTTTTTAAATTTTTGGAGCAAAATTAGAATTTTTTACATTAACATCAATGAAAAAAAATATATCTTTAAACGTATAAGAGAAAATTTTAGAAAAGACTTAATTTTAAATGAGTTCTTGCTAATTGACCAGTTTTACATATTCGGCACGACATATATATATATATATATATATATATATATATATATATATATATATATATATATATATATATATATATATATATATATATATATATATATATATATGTATGTATATATATATATATATATATATATATATATATATATATATATTATATATATATATATATATATATATATATATATATATATATATATATACATATGCAATAAGATCACAGTAAACAGGTGATTTTAAAATATGCAAAACAACCACTGTGAAAGAGTAGTGAAATTCCAAGCGCTTTCGTGACTACTCACATTGTCAAGGAACTATCTTGACAATGTGAGTAGTCACGAAAGCGCTTGGAATTTCACTACTCTTTCACAGTGGTTGTTTTGCATATATATATATATATATATATATATATATATATATATATATATATATATATATATATATATATATATATATATATATATATATATATATATATATATATATATATATATATATCCCCACTAAGAGACGAGAGAGCTATAGTATCTTCACAAAAATTCTATTTCTTCTGTATAAGTGATAGTCTATCTTGAGAGATGACAATTCACAAGTAACAGTAACTAACTATGCTGGAACAAAACTTTTGAAGGTCACATAACTGCTGAACCTCTAATGGGAAATTTAACGATATCCTCATTACTGAAATCTCCCAGCTCAGACTGACAACTTCAACACTATGTATGAAACTCATCCTGTGTGATGACGTATGTTCGCACTATGTATTTTAACTGCGTAAAGTACGACAGCGGCACATGGCTGGTGTATTCACGTTCGTTTAGCATTAAAAGTAATTGAGCCATGAGCTTACGTGCGTAGCGAATTGAGGATAATCTTGAGTCTTCCAGTGCCAGTAATCCTGTGTGAGAGTCAGTAGGTCAGGTGTAGGTGTTGGGTGTGGCACAGGCACAGGGGCCACCACCACCACTGGACCCTCCATCAACACAGCTGTTACCACCACCACCACCAGCCACACCATCTCCCTCGTCACCTCCGTGGTGTGAAGCCGAACCATTTTGACCTGGTGACGAAAACAGTAGAGAGTTAGAGGTGCAAACATTATCGGTACCACCTACAAAGTAAGAAGTGCGAATAATAATAATGATACTTACTGTATATTATTATTATTATTATTATTATTATTATTATTATTATTATTATTATTATTATTAGTAGTAGTAGTAGTAGTAGTAGTAGTAGTAGTAGTAGTAGTAACAGTAGTAGTAGTATTGGTATTATTATTACTATTGCATTTATGGGGAAAGTATAAACCAACAGGGATCATACAGCGCATGGTAAATGAGTTACGGAAGGTAACCAGATTATATCCAAGTAGAGGTGAGCTCTAATTCATTGGAAAGAGAGACCTTCACCTGGAGGACACCAGTGAACAGTGTGATGAAAATTAGGAAGACTACGATGGCAACAGTGATGATGAAGTTTAAAAAGTATGTGGAATCGAGGGTATACAATATGATCTCAAGAAATGAATGGGAAACAACTGTGGTGTCTGCAGTGTGGCTGAAGACAATAATACTGTTGCACCGTTTACCGTCGGGAGAACAGATTGTGATGAATAAGACATTTGTCCAACACTTGGGTATATTGCTTAAACGTTTCGATTGCTCTGCAAAAGGTTTATCGAGTCAAAGCCTGCTGATCAAGCTAAACGTATCGGCAATAAAGATACCCAAGTGTTGCATATGTGTTGTATTCATACACCAGTGGTGACCTGTACTTAACTAAGTGGCGACCTGTACTTAATTCAGTGGTGACCTGTACTTAACTCAGTGGTGACCTGTACTTAAACTCTGTGAAGACGTGTCTTGTGTTCTCTCTGTGGACTGAACCAAGACGCCCTCCATCAAGCAACTTTACCAGCAGCTTAAGGAGGAATTGAGGATGGCGAAGATAGAGATACGGCGATTGACTGAGAAAAACAGGAGGATTTGTAGTAGTCCTCCTGTTGTGAGTCCTCAGGTCAAGAAGGGAACCTGGACAGTGACTGGACAGCATGGAACGAAGTTGATGATCAAGAAGACGAATGGAAAAGTAGAAACCATGAAGAAGAAAGAGACTGCTGTGGAAACTGTTGTGGAAACATCTAATGCATTCTCCGTGCTACCCGACGAATGTGAGTCGACTACTGGGAACGTTACGACGAACGACACCAAGGAAGGTAAAAACATTGTTGTTGTTGGGGATAGCCAGGTTAGGTACATGGATAGAGCTTTCTACTTGAAGGCTAGGAGTAGGAGACAGAGGGTTTGCTTTCCTGGTGCTGGGATGGAGGATATTGTTAGCTGGCTTGACAACATCATGAACGGTAATGGGATCAATCCTATTATCTCTCTCAGTGCTGGAGGCAATGATGTAGGCAAGCGTAGAGGACAGGACAGTAATAGACATAATTAGGAAGAAGGTGGGAGCACGCCCTGTTATATGTGGCATTTTGCCAAGAAGGGGTGTTGGAAATGAATGGCTGTCCAGAGCAATTGGTATTAATTGTTGGCTGGACACTGTAAGGATAATGCAGTACCTTTCATCGACAACTGGGACCACTTCTATGGCCGAAATGACATATATGCCAGGGATGGGGTTCACTTATCCAGGGCAGGTGTGGGCTTTCTTGCTAGCTCAGTTGAGGGTGTTGTTAGGACTTTAAACTAGGACACGTTAGAGGTATGGGTTTAGAAATAGAAAATAAAGAGTGTCGAAACATGGATTTAGGCTTTGAAATTATAAATCTTAACAGTAGCGAGGACAGTAATAGGTATAGTGGAAGAACAGAAAGGAGCAGGAAGGGTAAAAAGAAAGGAGGGTCCTTAAATATATATTACACAAATAGTCGTAGTGCTAGGAATAAAATGGACGAGTTTAGTTGCTAGTGCAGGTAACATTGATGTATTTGCCTTAACTGAGAAGCGGTTCAATACGAAAAATCGGGACATGCCTGCTGAATGTCACATACAGGGTTTTAAATTGTTCCAAGTAGACAGAAGTATCGGGAAGGGGGGTGGGGTAGCACTGTATGTCCGAGATCACATGAACTGTTTCATAAAAACGGGTATAAAATCTGAAATAACACATACAGAATCTCTTTGGATAGAATTTTCAGAGGGGCATGAAAAGTTTATTTTAAGTGTGATATACCATCCTCCAAACTTAGACAGGGGCCAAGGGAGACTGCTATGGGAGGAAATTGTTAAGGCTACAAGGCACGATAACATAGTAATTCTAGGGGACTTCAACTTTAGCCAGATTGATTGCAATTTCTTGACTGGGAATTCAGAATCTAACGATTTCTTAGAAGTAGTTCAGGATTGTTTTTTGAAGCAGTTTGTGACAGAACCTACAAGGGGAAATAATCTGCTTGATTTGGTTCTGGCAAACAAGGAAACCCTTGTTAATAATTTAGAAATTACAGAGGAACTCAGCGCAAGTGATCATAAATCAATTACCTTCAGCATTGAATGGAAGTATGATAGTAGGGATAACTCAGTAACGGTCCCAGATTTTCGCTTAGCAGATTACAATGGGCTTAGAGAACACTTGTCATCTGTTGACTGGGGTAACGAAGAGAGTTATCAATATGAGAGTTTTCTGAACACTATACATGCTGCCTAAAGAACATTTATCCATATAAAGAAATTAGATCGAATAGAAATGATCCAAAATGGATGAATAATAGGCTCAAATATCTTTTAGGGCAGAAGAAAGGCATTCATAGGCGTATCAAAAGAGGTGAGGGTCTTCTTATGAATCAGTATATTGACATTAAGAGGGAAGTTAAAAAGAAGTAAGAAAAGTTAAACGGGACTATGAAATTAAAGTTGCTAGGGATTCGAAATCTAGCCCCAAAAGTTTTTTTCTAGGTGTATAGAACAAAAGTCAGAGATAAGATAGGTCCCTTTAAAAATAACTATGGAGTTCTTACTGACAAAGAGAAAGAAATGTGCTCTATTTTTAATAATTATTTTCTCTCTGTTTTTACTCACGAAGACACTAATAATATTCCAATAATTAGGTTTTTTATTGGGTCTGAAGAAGACAAATTATGTAATATCACAGTCGCTAGCGAAATGGTTATCAAACAGATAGACCGTCTGAAGCAAAATAAATCGCCTGGTCCTGATAAGCTTTTTTCAAGGGTTCTTAAGGAATGCAAAATGGAACTCTGTGAACCTTTAACTAATATTTTAATTTATCTCTTCAAACAGGTGTAGTGTCTGATATGTGGAAGATGGCTAATGTAATTCCTATTTTTAAAACGGGGGACAAGTCGTTACCGTCAAATTACCGCCCAATAAGCCTGACCTTAATTGTAGGCAAATTACTAGAGTCAATTATAGCTGATAATATAAGAAGCTACCTCGATAGACATAATTTGATTAATGATATTCAACATGGATTCACCAGGGGCCGTTCCTGCCTAACTAATTTATTGACCTTCTTCAGGAAAGCTTTTGAGGCCGTTGATCAGGATAAATAATTCGATATTGTTTATTTAGATTTTAGTAGGGTTTTTGATAGAGTACCTCATCAGAGACTTTTGAAGAAAGTGGCTGCTCATGGCATTGGGGGAAAAGTTCTGTCATGGATCGAGTCATGGCTCACTAATAGGAAGCAGAGAGTGTGCATAAATGGGGTTAAATCTGAGTGGGGATCTGTAACAAGTGGCAGGGATCAGTTTTAGGCCCACTCTTGTTTACAATATAAATGACCTTGACGAGGGAATTACTAGTGACATAAGCAAATTTGCTGACGACACGATGATGTCTCGGAACTTCAGGAGGATTTAGACAAACTCAATTCGTGGTCAGAAAAGTGGTAGATGCAGTTCAAGTGTGGATAAATGTAAAGTTCTAAAGCTCGGAAATGTTCATAACCCTAGCACCTACCAGCTTAATAATGTTGAACTTAGTCATAAAGATTGCGAGAAGGACTTGCGGATTATGATAAGCAGCAACCTTAAACCAAGACAGCAATGCCTAAGCGTATGTAATAAGACAAACAGATTACTGGGATTTATATCAAGAAGTGTAAGCAACAGAAGTTCAGCGGTTATATTACAGCTTTATATATCATTAGTAAGGCCTCACCTAGATTATGTAGCTCAGTTCTGGTCTCCATATTACAGAATGGACATAAATTCGTTAGAAAACATTCAGCGCAGAATGACTAAATTAATACATAGCATTAGAAATCTTCCTTATGAAGAAAGATTGAAGACCCTTAAATTAGATTCACTTGTTAGACAAATAATGAGGGGAGACATGATCGAAGTGTATAAGTGGAAGATGGGTATTAATAAAGGGGATATAATAAGGTCTTGAGGATATCTCTCCAAGAGAGAACCCGCAGTAATGGATTCAAATTAGACAAGTTTAGATTTAGATAGGATATAGGAAAGTATTGGTTTGGAAATAGGGTAGCTGATGAGTGGAACAGTCTACCTAGTTGGGTTATTGAGGCTAAAACCTTGGGTAGTTTCAAATTTAGGTTTGATAAATACATGAGTGAGAGGGGTTGGATTTGAGTGGGACTTGCATATGAGTGGATAGAGTTATCAGAGCTTATTTCTTGGGTGGCATTGAAAATTGGGTTGGGCAAATGTTTTGTTTGTGGGATGGATTGTGAAGGACCTGCCTAGTATGGGCCAACAGGCCTGCTGCAGTGTTCCTCCTTTTTTATGCTCTTACGTTCTCATCTGATTTAATCCTTCTCATTAACTTCACATCATCTGCGAACAGGGACACTTCTGAGTCTATCCCTTCCATCATGTCATTCACATACATCAAAAACAGCACTGGTCCTAGGAATGACCCCCTGTGGGATCCCGCTTGTCACAGGCGCCCACTGTGATACCTCATCACGCACCATGACTCGTTGTTGCCTCCGTGTCAGGTATTCTCTTATCCATTGCAGTGCCCTTCCTGTTATACGCGCTAGATCCTCCAGTTTCTGCACTAATCTCTTGTGAGGAACTGTCGAAGGAAATCCTGCAGTCCAGGAAAATGC